CGAGTGGGTCCCTTTTATTATTATTATTTTAGTCTCTTGCGAGCCGCTGCCGGGAAGTTGCCAAGACTTAGCGATAATTCTGCAATAGATCATAATATGGGAATCTCCCCATTAGAAATTCTGATGTTGTTGTAGTTCATTTACGTCGCACTAGAGCTGCACAATGGGCTATTTGCGACTGTCTGGGAAACATCCCTGAGGATGATCGAAGGACATGCCATCACCATTTTGATCCCTTGCTTCGGTAGCCCGCCGACCTGCACGCGAAGTCGAGCACTTTACGGAAGAACAGTTAAACGAGGACCCATACTGCACACCCTCGATCCCTACGCAGACTAATTCAAGTGGTCACTCCTCCCCCGCACACCGACCGCAGCCAGTGATGCTTGACTTCGGTCTTAACGATTTATCGGTTGGGAAACGTGTCTTTAACAATCAGTCCACTGCGGGACTAGAAATTCTGAAGAGTTGTTTCAATGACTAAAAATCATTGTTTTGTGACAGTGAATTATAAATAAGCAAAACATCAACGTTTAAACAACATCTTTATTACATAGACTTATATGTATGTATATATAATATTATACAATCTATATATATATATCAATTTGAAATCCCATGTATATCTTCCAGAATAAGGTAATCTTCGTGTCAAAATTCTTTAATTCTTATGGAATAAGCGTTTAAAAGAAAATTACATTTTAGAAAATACGACCTTCATAAGCTCATATTTGCTGGATTTATTTATAACATTTTAGAAGCAAGTTTTGGCATCACCGAGAAAACTTTCTACACAAAGATAGTACCACTTTTTAAATACTGAACATGGTTACAATTTGTTTTCACAACTTTAACAAAAAACATATTTCTTTTGAAGCAATGAGTGAATCTTAGAAGAGCCCACCTCTTGGTGATTTTTTTTAAAATCTCGCCAAACTAGGTTTCCGGAAGATATTTTGGGGAAATTGTTTTGAACGTCACCAAAAATTCGTAAAACTGATTGGTTATTTGATATGTATACTTACGCGAAAGTTGGATTTCGTTAGAAAAGATGTAAAAGGGTTTATTTTATCGCCATTGATGCTGTTAAAATCGTTATTATATAATTTTTTTAACCGTAATTTAATTTTTTTTGTGCGGTACCAGTTGAAAATAGTTTAAATGCTCTTTTCTTTTTTAACATTCAAAAAGCAACGTTGATTCCAGTAATTATCGTCATTTTGACGAGGTTTTAAAAAATCGCCAAGAAGTAGGCCATTCTATGATTTTACGGAAATAATAATTAAACAAAATTTAAGGCATGCATTCAAAATAATCATTCCTTTTTAGTTGAAATATTTATGAGTGCAATTCAAATAGAAACTATGTTCATAGTTTTGGAGTATTTTTATAAAATGACATTCCTTTTTATCTTACAGACACACACACACTTTTAAAAGATAATTTTTTTTTATAGAAAATATTCTTAATTACACATTCTTTTGGAGAAAAATATATAAGAATAAAGCTTGTGCACAGAAGATAATGATGAGTTGTTGGATGTCAACTTTAGAGAAAATATACTGATACAAGGTTTCCACTTCACAGGGAAAACCTGAAAAATACAGGGCATTTAAAAATTTCTTTAAGTAACAGGGATAATGCGGGGAATTTTTCTCCCGAATTGGGGAAAACCTGGGAATTTTTTTTCTTTTTAAAAATGCAGATCTCTCAAAACGTATTCTATCAGATATATAAAAATGATTGTTAAGCTGTATTAAATTATTTAATTTATTATAGCATTATTTGTTTTATGTCGAGCTGTTCCTCATTTCTCCAAGTTTTTTCAGCAACAAAAAGTTCAGCACAAAAGCACAGTAAATGTGTGTTTCCTCATTGTTTATATTATGCGCAGGGAAAAAACAGGGAAATTTTTTTTACAGATATGATTGGAGACCCTGTTGATACATTTTTGCAATCATTATTTTTTATTACAACTTTCACTGAAATCAGAGTGTTAAATATTCTGATATGAAAAGATGAGCTTGGTAAAACCGTGTATAGAAACATCAGGAGGTTGTTTATAAAAGACACTTCTTTTTCCCTTTCAAAACTAAAATAACTCCCTTATATTAATCTACGGGTTTGTTCTTATGGTCAACGAAATCCAAATTCTTCAAGTGTTCCATAGACTCAGGGTTGTCACTTCATAGGAAAATACAGGGATCAACTAAAATAAATGGGAATTTTTTGTTTTTTATTTAGAAACGTGGACAATACAGGGAATTTTGTCTTTTAAGAAAGGGTGACGACTCAAAGTGCAATCTATGAAATATTTAATGATGATATTTCAGCTATATTGAACTATTTCATTTACTATAGCATTATTTAAGTATGTTCAGCTGCAGCTGTTTTTCCTGCAATTAAAACTAATAAATATAGTTAGCCCAATATAGCTCACACAAGAGCACAGTAATTGCTGTGTTTCCTCTTAATATAGTGTGTATAATACGTACAGGGAAAACAAGTAGAATTTTTTTTTTCTTTCCAGATTTGAATGACAACTATTACCAAAGTGTAAAAGATCAATTGTCTGAAAATATGTTTGCTCCGCTAAGTAGTTGCACCAATATGGACAGTCATTTGTTAACGTTTTTACTTTAACTCATTTATGCTTTAAAAAAAAAATAGTCTTGGATATTATAAAAATGCTGCACCACGAAATTTTAAAATTCTCTAAAATCTCTTTATTCAGAATTTCTTTGTTCAGGTCTTAAAAGAAAAAAAAGACACGGAAATGTTTAATAGTAGCAAAAAATTTAGACGTTTCATTATTTACCTTTTTTTTTATTTTTTTTAGTGAACTGTTAATACTGATATTTTATTAATACAGATTTTCAATGAACGAATGGTTAAAAATCTAAATTTAAAGTCAGTCCTACTGACTGCAGTAAATTTTTTTTTAAAACAGCTGCTAATGGATGCAATTTTTTTTAAGAGAGAAAAAATATATTTTTACAGTTTTTTTTTATTAAATAGATTTTCTTTTATTACGGATGGTTTTATTTTATAACAGTCGACCCAATTTTGGGTTGACAACTACTCATGTACAATGTAGCCTTGTCATTTTGAACCCAATCCGGAAGACAAGGGAACAACTCCTGGAAGAAATTTTCCTCCTTGGAGGACTTTTTGATGGAACTAACCTGCATTTGCGTTACATGGAGAGGAAAACCTCCCACGATGATGGCAAGGGGACTCTCACCCATGATCCGTCTGCCACTGAGGATATTTTACGCCAGCACTGTGGAGCACAGATGGTGCTAGGGGTTGAAATTCATCGAAAGACTTCCGGGTTACTGTTTCCCATTGATTTTTACGCCTAAGCTTGAAGAAGGGTGAGATCAAATATTACTTTACTTGTATTTACAGTATAACGCAAATTTACATTATAACGCATTTTTTCAATTTAAATTTCAACGAAGGAAAAAAAACACATATGAATTAGGAAGACTACAAGCATGCAAGATGCAAACCTAAAAATAAATAAAGGTGATATTTTACAAAATGACAGCCAAATAAGGGCCAACCTTATTCATGTTGCGATATTAATTTTCTTATATTTGGTTTAGGGTCACAAATAGTTAGATTTTGTAAATGACCGGAAGCTCTGACGAAAGTTGTTGTTGATAATTTACGTCGCACTAGAGCTGCACAGTGGGCTATTGGCGTCGGTCTGGGAAACATCCCGGTGGATGATCCGAAGACATGCATCACAATTTTGATNCTAAAATATTAAGACTGTTCACACATCGGTCTCGTAAACATAAGCATCGGTGGAGGGATACAGCAGAAGATTTCAAAATTCAGCCCACCATTCATTTATAAATGACTGATTTTTCTTATTGTCTTCGAATTTTAAATGTCGAATTGCTTTTAAAATAAAAGTAAGGCACTTTTTGATACTCGGTTAAATTTTCTGTACTAAGTTTTAAAATGAAATTGAGGAACTGTGATGTGTGAACTAATTTCAGAACATTCTTTATGCATAATAGAAATTATTTCTATACTTTAACATTAGGCATCAAATTTAAACGTGTTTTAGCAATAGCTATGCGCACAGAAACATAGTTCAGAGTTTCTTTGAAAAAAAAGTCTTAAAAAAAAAATTTGAATTTGAAACAAAGAAACAACGTGTATCATATTGTTCAGTGCACAAACTTTAAAACAGCTATCCAATCATATCTACCTACAATCCTTTGCCAAATTATTAGGGGCACTCTAAGATTCTATGTAAAATTTTAAATATCAGGTGATACTCTATACAGCTTTAATGTTTTTATGTAACTGAAACCAGTTTGCACTTGTTATCGTATTCGTTAAATGAGACGATATATAATATAAATTCAACGATTGGACACATTAGACAATATATTACATAAATATAGAATATTTATTGTATCAGGTATTTTATTATAATAGTTTGACCGATATAAACGATATATAATATAAATTTGACGATATATTATAGAAATATAGAATATTTTTTATATCAAGCATTATATGAGTATAGTATAATAATGTGATCCAATTATCAGACGCACTGTAGTGTTTTAATAATGACATGATTTGCACGAGTTTAAAGGCAATACTTTTATGTTTAAACATACATGTTAATGGGTTTTTAATATATACTTCCTATTTGTATTTATTTTTAACGTATTGCATTACGATGTTAACCCATTGATACACTAACGTAAACCGGTTTCAGCTGTGTAAAAACAATAAAGCTGTATAGTATCACCTCATAGTTAAGATTTTTCATGGAATCTTATAGAGTGCCTATAATAATTCAGCTAGTGACTGTATATATAACTAAGACAATGAAACATTAGTATTAAGAATATGGTCAACATCAGAAACGGACAAAATAGATTTTTTTCAAACACTCACAAAAGCTTTTTTCCCCAAGCTATGTGATTTGATTGCATGGACCCATTATTATTATTTTTTATTTTAAGTTCGCTGCAGCATTTAAAGTAACTAATTTATTACAATACAGTCGAATTCATTTATTGCAAGGACTGAAAAAGTCTGAATTTTCAGAAACAAATCTATTCACAAGATGTATTCGAATCTTCATTTTTAATGACAGTAGAATTATCCGAATTTCTGCTTTAACACTAGATTGCCCAAGGAAGTCATTTTGACTGCTGATAGTCAATTTGACTGCTGTCATTTGATAATGATGTACATAATGGCACAATTTTGTGCAACCTCGTGAAATGATCGTTACTAACGAAAATGATGAAAATCAACATATGTGTAACCATACGGATGGACTAACGAAAGTGCTATTGAATTTATTATAGAACAAGAGGCCATCCTGTTTTCAATGAAAGCATTACAGCAGAAAAGTATCATGTAAAACGATTAAGGTCTTTTAAACTCTAAAGTAAAAACTCTTTAATTCTCGAAAAGTATGTTCTTTTTAATTTTCATTTATAATATGAATTGTATGTGGTATAAATTTTGCATTTGTTAAATATATTACATTTATAAACTAAACTCAGTGGCACGACAGCCTCATAGAGGGCCTACTATTCTTGAGGCTCTGGGGGGCGCAGATGTTCCTGTTGGGTGTTTAGCATTCATTTTATCCACCCACTGAAATGATGAGTATCGAACCTGTGTTAAGACAGCCACCCTATTATATTTAGAGGACACCATGCCCGAGCGGTATCATCCGCCAAACGCTGTTACCCTCAATGTATCTTCTGTAATGCGCTATCTGCCCCTCTATTGAAAAAGGTTTATAAGCCTAAATTGAACACACAAGCCTGCAAATGTATGTCATTCCAACATTTATACCTATTCATATTACATTTATACTGTCAGGATTCCTCTCCCACGCATTTGATTGGCCCCTCACCTGAAGTGTCATCCCCCGAGAGTGGGGGTGCAGCGAAGGACTTTCTTTTGGTGAGAAAAAGGATTTCTAAGATAGATTGAATGCTGAAAGAGTATAGACAGGAAGGGAGCTCTGGAAGTTGTATGTTATGTAGCTTAAGTATATTTTCATATTTATTTTTAAATATATATAATCAAGAATATTGTTGTTGTTGTTACACATCCCCCTGGAAAAGGAAAGCCTAGACCAGGTCCAGAATGCCCCGTCGCGTCAGTTCCCCATATATCTGCAGAAAGTCCCGATCAACCAGCAGCTGCTTATAAGAAGCGCCAAGGCAAAAAAGAAGGTGATCAGGACTAGCAGGTTGTGAGCAGGAGCAAGGTTGGAAAGTCTTTTCCCCATTTTGAAACCTTAAACACTTAAGATGGCCACTACGAAATCTGGCCATGGCAGATAGGAAAGGCCGAGGGCCTCTGCATGTTAATGATAGGCCAGGGCTGTTGGCAGCATACCACTGATGGGATGGAGTGCGGCACCACACTGGAAGCAAACTATGTTTTCCCAGGGAGTGGATCTCAGTGGGAGTAAGACGGTTCAAACAGTCCATAGGAAGATCAAGAATATTAAAACTGATATATATACGTATTATGAAAAGTCTTTTGTCATCATTAAGACTGATTAAATGAACGAACCGAAATAAAACCATCTCGCAAAGAAAGATCTTCCTTTTTTATACTCTCTGCTTTCACCGAGTGAGAGTTCACATTAACTCGGATAACTCCACTTCATCAATCAATGAAGATTCAGATACATTTTGTAATTGTACGGTATCCATAAATATCTTTATTATACACACACTTCAATTAGATTTAGCAATAAATGAGCTCGACTGTAGTAGCTGATGATTATTTTTTCACAGCCTAGTGAAGTACAAACACAACATATATAATTACAATACTATACTTAAAAACAAAACAAATGGCAGAACACAAAACAGAAATAAAAAAGCTTCCTGAACAAGAAACAGTATCACATTTATCTTCTACTTTTAAGTAATAAATTAGGAACAAAACATGTATCAGGGTTGCCACTCCACAGAGATAAATAACGGGGAGTCCTTTTCTTCACAAACTGGGAAAATACAGGGTTTCTTCTTTTAAGAAATGGTGACCACTCACCTGCAGGATATTGAAGGATGCTATACTAAACTATTTCATTTAAAATAACATTATTTAAGTATGTCCCATCTTCCATTCTAACTAGTATAATTAGCCCAATACAAGAGCACACAGTGATTGTGTGTTTTCACTGAATATTTTGTACAGGGGAAACACAGCTTCTTCAGATTTGAGTGACAACCCTGAGATCAGAATAAATGAGACCCATTGTAAGTTGTAAATGATAGCAAGAGTTGATTCTTAGCAGCAGGCGTTATATGCAATGAACGAATCGAATAATCCACTTGAATAAAGAAGATGACATTAAAAAACAAAATAGAATGGAATAATCACAAGTTCCTGCATAAATGTTAAGAAATTTGTTCTTTCATTTTTGGCATTTTGAAATGATGCTCTGTGCGATGCTCTTTTGTAGAAAATGTCGAGAGTGAACCACTGGAAGTAAAACGATCCAATAACCTTTCTTTTGGTTCCTGAAACGTAAGGAAGAATAGTTAAATGAGAACAAATTCATTCGGACAATAGTAAAACAGACTAGTAGTAACAATCTTCAGAAATGGCAACTACGGATGCAAAGCTAAGCGCAGATGACGCTAGGAGTTGAAATGCGTCGTAAACTTCCGGGTTACAACTTCCGACTGCTTTTTACGCCTAAGCTTGGAACATGCACCCTCCAATATTATTATGCTTGTAGTATTTACAATATAACGCTTACTTTTAACCTAACTTTCAACAAAACAAACAACACAGGAATTCGGAAGACTCCGAAAACTTGCTATGATGCTACCCCGGGTCCCCCTAAAAAAAACCGATGGTGCTATTTTACACAAATATTGATGATTTAAATGAGCTACATTTAGCGTAGAACAGAACTCTCAACCTATGGCAACACTTCACAAGCTTTCACCATTAGCGTATGGACAGTCATAAAAGAAAGAAGTACGTTAGTTTCTGTTTTGATATTCATATAGATTAAAAACTTTAAAGTTGGGAAACCACATGGAACTGTAAACTACATTGAACATATTTCCAAAAGAAAGCGCTGTGGAATTTAAAAAAAAAAACATTTTTAAATAAGAAAAATATCGTAGTACATTCCTATGCAACTGAAAGGAGGAGGAGAGGGAAAGTGGCGGGTCAAGACACGGAACCGGTTTTCTCGCCAGATGGCGCATTTGAGCTTTGGCTGTAGCCAAATGAAGGATAACACTCAAAACATGGCAAACCTTTATTTATGCTGTGATGTTAAATTTGTTTTAATCTCACGGCTTGTTAGAATTTATAAATTACAGAAAATTCTTATGCATGGTAAAATTAAGCGTAAATTTTAACCGAATCATAATAATTAAACTTCTTAGAATATGAAGCCTGTTCGTGCATCGCCTCGGAAGCATACCATAAGCACAGAGATGCCAACTTGCTCCGGACAGCAAATATATATTTTAAAGTGGAAGTTTATGAACTGTGATTCTTGATTTAATAAATTCAATTTAGTAGATTTTTATCCACCACTATTTCTAAATAATTCGTTGACTTATATAATTCACCACTATGTGGTACTTTTGTCATGCTATGCCCTTTGAAGAGCAAACAAAAATAGTCTAATTTTGGATAATTTACTTTGAGTTATGTACCGTTTTTTTAATTATTTTGGCGTGTCCGGAGCAGTTGGCATCTCTGTAAGCAGAATGATACACCGGAAGCTTTCTAGATTTCTTCCGGTTTTAAAAAGCTTGTTATTGTTTACATTCAGTCAACCGTCCATGAAGTTGAAATTTGGCACGATGAAAGGGCCACATTTTTTTAAGGAATTTAACGTGAGTTTTTTTTCAAAATTCCGTTATATTATTGTAATTTTAAGTTATTATAAACTATAAGTTACTTGAAGTGTTAACTTTAATTTTTCTCACTTTTTCATATTTAAATAATGACTATTCCTCCGTAAGAAATTTTACTTATCTCTCCGAAAATCATTATTTAATGAATGGTGTTTTCAATATAAAAGTAAACAACAACAATCTCGAGTTCTTGACCTTTTCTGCTTCCGTTTAGAAAGTATACAGCTGCTTACTACAGCTCATTCTGCGAGGCGATAGTTTCAAACAGATGGTTTTGTTTTTAATAAAAGAAATAAAATGATATCATTTCAGGGCTCAAGTCTGCTGTAATTCATAAGATATTTAGTTAATCTGTTGAGTTTGAAGTGAAAATTTGTTTTAGTTATTTATTGATGCATCGTTAAAAAAAGCGATGACATGGTTGCTCTCGCTCTTTTGGCAGTTCTGATTTGGCCTCTTTTTACTTATTTATTATTGTTAGTTCTTGGCTCAAGCTGTGCACCATCATGCGTTAGCATATTGTTAGCATATTGCATATGAGATTAAGTTCATTTTATAAAAAAATAAAACACAAATTAAGTCTTAATAATTAAAATCAAAATATAAATGTGTGTTTGCAGAACAGTACTTCATCAGGGGACACACTGCCTGCAAACACACAGGAGCCTTTCTGTTGTTAGTGGATTAAACCAAAACTAACAGTGCCCAGAAGCCCCTTAACAAAAAGACAAAAATATAACTTTCTACCACAATTTAAAGGCACTAATAACCTGAAAATGAATCACGCTTAAAAGGCATAAAATTTAAACCATGTAATGAAATGCCCTCCTTCAAAACACAATATAAATACATGTAAGTAAAATGAAAGTTACAGTTAATGAAAGTAAAAATATAAAAAAATTCCGAATCTGTGAGAGAAAAAAATCAAGTGCTGACATCTGTGTTGGAAAGTCTAATCAATGAGCAATAAAATCTCCAAGTGCTGCCATCTGTTTTGGAAAATGAGATCCTAAAATTTCACCGCATAGGCCTGTTTATGGGGGCTTCAATATCGGCCAAACTAACTTAAAGTATTTAAAATATTTTGAATAAAGATATCAAAATTATAGTAGTTAAAAGGAAATTTATTTTTCTTTAGAGTAATTTTTAAATTTTATTTTATAAATTATCATTTAGGTTTAAGTTTCGTAGTTGTTATGGTGATCACAAGGTAAGAAGGTGTTTTATAAACGATTCTTTTTTTTTCTTTTCAAACGAGGATCCCTACGTCGTGAAATGACATGTCTTCAAGTGATAATTCTTCTTTTTAAACACAAATAATAAATAAGGTAACAAATACACGTGTACAGGATATACTACTCAAGAGAGTTCCAAAACGCAACGTTGTGCACCAAATGGCTTCCAAATACACTGGAAACAGCCGGAAATATAGGAACTCAAAAGTTAGCAGAGCTCTCTAGTTTAGAAAACACTATTTATAAGCTCGCACTTCAGCTAATGTCGAAAGTAAAAAAAAAGAAAAGAAAAAGAGATGCTGTTAAATATAAATCCTAACAATTATATTGAAATTTTTATCAGGGATCCAACGGGTCAGGGAAAACCTGGAATTGTTAGGGAAATTTTTTTTTAACTCCAAATATCAGGGAATAGTTAGAGGAAGTAGCAATTTTTTTCTTCAAAAACCTGGAAAATAACTAGTCTTAAATTTATCATTAACTGTAATCAGTTATTGTTAAATAATATCAGTTAAATAATTCTAACATCTATTGCAATTATTTGTGGTAAAAATGTCACATTTTAGTCAAACTGAAATGTTCCCATCCTCATTATTATTATTATTTTTTTTATACAGAAAATCTAATACTTGACATTACAAAAAAAGAATCAAAGTTTTCTGATGAAAAATTGCATGATACAGATAAAATAGGGTCTAGATTTACGTTGAAATTTACCCGGAATTTTTTTTCTTTCTGAAATTGCGTGGGAACCCTGTTTTACATGCATAAAAGACAGGATTCAATAGAGTTAACTGTTTCCAATTTGAACAGTTTTGATGACATAAGGTTCTCATTAACAAGTAAAATTAAAATTACTTTTCATTTATGTTGCATTGTATCATATACTCTACATTCTTAAGTTTAAAGTTTGTTTTCAAAATAGTGTTGTTTATTTTTACAAATCCAGGTTGTTAACGCATCAACAAAATATATTTTTTCTCTTTTTAATCGTTTCCCTTACCCATTTTTTGAAAGAAAAAAAATGCAAAAAATCAACCTCTTTTTTAATTTTAATAAAAAATCTCAGGAACTAAAACTAAACAAAATATACAAGTTCTAAGGTGAAGACTAAAAAATATTTAATTTACCATCAGTTTACTATCCCGAGATATTTTAGGCAAATGAAAAAAGTTAAATATTAGTCTTCAGGGGTCTGTCCAAACATTTTGCGAAAGGTCCGTTTTTCGTGAAATTGTGAAAAAATTACTCACATTCTTTCAACCAGGGTCCGCTTTTATGAATTTGTGCAAATAGGGTCCGTTATTGCAAAAAAAAACTTTTTCAAGGAGTTTATAAATTGTAAAGACATAGATGTTGCTCAACACTGTAAAATTATAATTAAAAGAATTAAATTTTAAAAAATAAACAATAAGTGCTGCTTCTAAATTAGAGATGCAACATACAAATATTTGGTATTTAGCCTATACTGCTGAACGCAGAATATTAATTTCGGACGAATAATGGAAGAATCGTCTGCCGAAGACAAAACTTCATTCGTTTACATCCTCTTGCTTTCTGCCCTGGAACGGGTTTATTCGATTAACAAAATAATAATGAAGATAAACAAATTTGTGATGGGTCCGATTAAAAGAAAAATCATTTTGTGAAGGGTCCGG